AATGGAGGGATGGAGGGATGGGTGGGTGGGTGGAGGGATGGATGGGTGGGTGGATAGAGAGATGGAAGGATGGATGGGTGGATGGATGGATGGAAGGATGGAGGGAGGGGTAGAGGGGTGGATGGATGGATGGATGAAGAGATGGATGATGGACAAATGGAGGGATGAAGGGATGATGGACAAATGGAAGGATGAAGGGATGATAGATAAGTGAATGATGGAGGGAAGGATGGAGGTATGAATAGATGATGGAGGGAAGGATGGATGACAGACGGAGGGGTGACAGATGAAAGGGCGAGCTGTGTAGGAAGCGCCACCTTGCACTGCTTTACTCAGAGTTTCACACATATTCTTTGCCTTTGCATTTTTCCTTTACTTTTTTACAACGCTTTGTATTGCAATTGCGAAACCACCGCCCCAGCAAGTCGCTCCTGGGTGGTTTTCTTCTTCTGTCTGCGCAATAACAGTGCTTGCTAAGTATGTGTCACTTCACGACGCAGCAAGAACGATGTTTGGTGTCACATGCAGTGCATTGACTCAGCAGGAAGCGTGGCAGGAGCGCGGCGGTGGCGGCTCGGCGTTTCCGGCACATTATTGTCAATAAGACTGTGAGAAAAACCGGGTATCAACAAAGGAGAAAATGCTCCGTGTGCATTTCAAGGGGAAAGCAGGCTGGGGCAGGGAGTGGGGCTCTGTGGGAAAATCGAGATGCTGCGTCTCGGGGCTGATGGATGAGCTGAGACCCAAAACCTTTGCCCCAGGAGCTCCTGCTCCAGCTGAGCCCCCTGCTTGCATCACAAGGGACCCAGGTGTGCAGGCTGCCCTGTAATCACTTTCTGCTTTCGCCTCCAGGCTGCAGCAAGCAGATCCCAGCAGCAGAAGTGCTGTGGAAAGGAGGCAATGTGGGTCAGACGAGGAGCAGCAGCAGCAGCCGCCTGCTTCTGGCTCATCAGCCCCGCTGACCCCATTTGCAGCACCACTTGTCCATGGGAAACTGCTCCGTGTGCTCCTTGGGTTGTAATGCAATCAATCATCGTTCAGCATCACAGATCATAAAAGCATGGGGACACATTTTTCCTGTTTTCCTTTCTTCCCCCTTCAATTGGAAACCTGCTAAAATCACCCACGTTCCACCGCGATCCTCCTCTTGCTGCTTAGGATCCGGCCATCAGCAAACTCTTTAGCAGCTATCTTGCATTTGCAGGTCAGCCATAGAGAGATTTACCCCACAGCTCATACAGCAAACGTAGCAAATCTCAGCTACCTCCAAGGGGTGCTCAGCTCAAAGGCATCTGCTTGCAGTGCTGGGGATGCTTAAAAAAAGAGAGGTGAAAGACAAGGGAGGAAGAAAAGAGGAGAGAGAAGGGGGGAAGAAAAGAGGAGAGAGAAGATAGGAGCTAAAAAAGACAAAAAAAGGAAGGAAAACGGGAAAAAGGAAAGAAATTGTGAAAAAGAGAGAGAAAAGAAAGGAAAGGAATAAGAAAATAAAAGAGAGAAGGAAAGGAAAAAGGGAAAACCACCTCCATCCTCCTGCCTTGATAGTGATGGAGCAGGGATGGGGGAGGATCAGTGCTCAGCAGCACTGGGGCTTTGCTCCACCATGCAGGATAGACTGTGACCTGTTTGATGTATTTGAAGCTTGAAATAGTTCCTTATGAGTAATGTGGTTCAGGTGCTTATCACTAATTAATTAATTCTTTCATAGTGTGGATACCTAATTAAAGCAGTCTAAGGTAATTCCGGAGGGGTCTGAAGCTGAAGGGATGGTTAATGGGGTTGTTTCTGTGCTGATGCAACCCTTGGGGCAATTCCCAGTGGCTGGAAGGGTTTATTAGGTTCTGTGTGGTTGTTACTTAAAATAAAATTCCAATAAAGGTTTGATTTGGGTGAAGTCATCAGAGACAGCAGCAAGGCTCCCACGGCACAGCTGGGCTTCTCTGGGCAAAAAGGAGATGGAAAAAGGCATGAGTTTGTGTCATGGCACCCCAGGTCCTCATTCCAAGCCTCGTTTTGCACCTCCTGTTAACACCTGTGTCTTGATGATGGGAAATACTTGAAAGCCACAAGGGGTTGGAAGCTGGGATTTCTGAGCAAGTTGACTTTATTTTAAGGTCAGCTTGAATTCTTTTGGTGATGGCGTCAAGAAGTGAAAGAACCAAGAACTCAATGATGGGATGGCTACTCTAATGAATGGGTGATGTGAGTTTTCTAGTGGTCTCCCCATAGTAGAAATGAACCTTTGAAATGAGGGGTTCTGATGTCTCCTGTTCCTAAAGAAGACCAGACAGGCCAGGAACCCGTGGGTCAGGCAGTGGCCAGGCTGTGGGATGCAATGAATAATGCTGGAGTAAAACAGAACCTTCTGCCAGGGGAAAGAGGCTCATAGGCTGGTCTGGGTTGGAAGGGACCCTTAAAGACCATCTGGTCCCATTCCTCTGCAATGAGCAGGGACACCCACAGCTGCATCGGGGCTCAGAGCCGCATCCAGCCTGACCATCTCTCAGGGCAACCCGTGTCAGTGCCTCACCGCCCTTATTGCAAGCAACTTTTTCCTTATGTCCAGTCCAAATCTCCCCTAAAATAAAATCATAGAATCACAGAACGGCCCGGGTTGGAAGGGACCTCAAGGATCACGAAGCTCCAACCCCCCTGTGCCATGCAGGGCCACCAACCTCCACATTTCACAGCAGCCCAGGCTGCCCAGGGCCCCATCCAACCTGGCCTTCAACACCTCCAGGGATGGACGGGGCATCACAGCCTCTCTGGGCAGCTGTTCCAGCACCTCACCACTCTCACAGCACACAACTTCCCCCTGACATCCAACCTCCAGCTGCCCTCCCTCAACTCCAAACCATTTCCCCTTGTCCTGCTGCCATCTCCCCTTGCCAAGAGCTGACTCCCCTCCTGTCTGCAGGCTCCCTTTAGGCACTGCAGGCTGCACTGAGCTCACCCCGCAGCCTTCTTTTCTCCATGCTGAACAAGCCCAGCTCCCTCAGCCTGTCTTTGTAGTGGAGGTGCTGCAGCCCCCTGCTCATCTCTGTGGCTCCTCTGGACCCTCTCCAACAGCTCCCTGCCTTTCCTGGGGGCTCCAGACCTGCACACAGCACTGCAGCTGGGGCCTCACAAGAGCAGAGCAGAGGGGGACAATCACCTCCTGTGATTGGGGCTGCCACCCCTCTGCTGATGGAAAAATAAGAGGCTGCTCAGCTGAGATGGGTGGGTGATGCAAAGCTCGGGCTCAACCATCACTCCCCCAAGTCTGTGAGGGACCCAGGGGGGAGAAATCCAGTAGTGTGACCCTGTGAAGATGTCCGCTGATGGGACACACGTGTCACCTTGGGGCAAGGCCAGGAGAAGCTGTTGCTTTGCAGCTGGGGCACTGCTGTTTTTTCCGTGCAGCATTGGGTGTTTTTAGGGAGTTTCTGAAGCTGCGTGTTCTTTTCTCAGGCCAGCTGCATAACAATAAAACACAAGCATAAAAATAAAATGCCAGCAGCAGAGAGCGTTCCTTACCTCTTTTGGACTCCCTTTACCCCCACATATAAAGGATAGAGGCCAATGGCTGCTTGCAGAGGTGGGAACTGGATGGTCTTCAGGGTTCCTTCCAACCCAAGCCATTCTCTGGTTCTACAGTTCCATGATTTATGCTGTGCTGGTTTTTTTTCCCCCCCAAACACAGTGTGTTTCCTTTTCCTGGCAGCTCCTGGGGCTCTCTCCTGCTCTGGGAAACGTCCCTTCACCCTCATCATTTCTTAAGAAAACAATACAAAAAAAAAAGCATAAAAGAGAATAAAAGGAAGTTGAGGTTGCTTTCAGTTTGCCTTCTCTTTTCAACCGTTAGGGCACGTGTGAGAAAACAACCTGAGATTCTCACTTCTGTGTGCCATCCAAAGGTGAAAGGGAAGGCTCTTGAGCAGGGCTCCCAAAATGCTTGGGGATGGTCTGCCCTATGTCTGGTTCACGTCTGCATGCAACCCCATGCTCTGCTTTGGAGGAGCCTTTCCTGAGCTGCCTGGGATGGGATGCATTGCTGTCCTGCACCACTACCTCCATGTATACTCTATGTAGGAGATTGTGGTTTTGTGGTCATGAATGGGTGGATCAGAGCATTGCTCCCCATACAGACACATCCAACAATGGGCTCTTCATCCCGTGCACTGATTTCAGAGGAGAAAACTCATTGGGAACCTCCCTCCATGTACCAATTTTGGAGGACAAAACTCATTGGGAACCTCCTTGCTGTGCCTCATCCCATGGGACGTGCATCGCTTGATGCTGGCTCTGCTTTTGGGGTGAAATGCAGTAGCATGGGGCCATGCAGGGCTAAGGTCATAAAATTAGACTCATTTGAATTGGAATGGACATTTAAAGGTCATCTGGTCCAATTCCCATTCAGTGGACAGGGGGCAGTGGGTTCTCTGCCCCCTCCATTCCAGTGATGGGAACTCAGTTGGCACCAAACCCTGGATATGGACACACTGATGGCATCAGGGCTGGCCCCTCACTTGTCACACCTCGTGTCTATCTGCTATCAGCGTGATAACGAAGCTGTTGCCATGGAAACAGGTTCATTTTCACCCTTCAATTTCTTTCTTACTTTGCTGTTGTGCCTCTGACCCATGAGCTGCTGTTTGGTGATTTCCATGCCACGCTGGGCACTGGGCAATAAAATGTAGGTTGGGAAAGGGAATGCAGTTTTCTGCTCTTTTCTTTCTGCCTGTAGTGTTTTTACAGCTTTCTATGTATATTTAGTCATTATTTTTTCAATGGAGCAGCCTGTTTTTAGAGTCGACCTTTAGCACAACTAAGAACTATGGAGATGATTCTATTAGGCTGAATAGAACCCCCTTTAAAGGGATGCCAAAGTGCCTGTGACAGGTCTCTGGGCTCAGACATTTCACTGCTGGGTTTTGCTCACTGATGCCTATGCTCCAGAAAGGTGGTTGGGTCACCATCCCTGGAGGAGCTCAAGAAACGTGTAGATTTAGTACTAGAATCATAGAATCAGCACGGTTGGAAAAGACCTAAAAGATCATCCAGTCCAACCATTCACCTGTTCCCAATAGCTCCCACTCAAGGTGAATGGTTTAGTGGGCAACATTGGTGGTAGGTGGGCGGCTGGACCAGATGATCTGAGAGGTCTTTTCCAACCTGTGATTGTACGATTCTATTCCAAAAAAGCACTGAGTTTCCCAAGGGGCTCTGCTTAATGGAGGATGACTGATGTATTTGATTGTTTTCTCCTTTCCCCAGTCAGAAGAGATCCCAAAAATTGGGATCTTCCTCTGTCACTTGGGCTTAATCTCAAGTTGATATGGGAGGAGAAAGGAATTCTTCTCAGTGCTTAAAAAGCAGCACTTTCGTGGCGAGTATTGAGTTTGAATACCTTAAATTGGTGACTTTCACTGCAGAATGGGCTGTCTGAGAGCACATTTTGCATTGGGTTGGGTCTCAAAGGCAGCATCATCCTTGCTTGGGACACCAGCAGCTTTGCGAAACATAGTATCACAGCATCGTTCAGGTTGGAAAAGACCTCTAAGATCCCCAAGCCCAACCCCAGCCCATCCCACCGTGCCCACATCCCTCAGTGCCACATCTCCACAGCTCTGGAACACCTCTGGGATGGTGACCCCACCACTTCTGGGCACCTGTCAGCTCTTGTGGAAAAGAAATTCTGCAGTGCTGTGCAGTGAATAGCCCACAGCCCCTCTGCACAGTGCCCAAGCATCAAATCAACCCCAGAGCCTGAGCTGTAATCACAGCCCAGAGCCTGAAAGAGACAATATCCAGGTCCTGTACACCATAAACATCATTAGCATGGAAATCAAACACCATCCTTACTCATTAACCTGCAATCTGCAAGACAGGAATCCTATTATCCAGACGCACTGCACTGCAGACGTGCGGTGGCTTCTCTGTCCCCATGCGGTGCCATGGAGCCCATAGCTCTGTGCCACTGCTTGCAAGAGGTACGGAGCCCTTAGGGCAAAGAGGGCTTAGGGAATTCCTGCTGATTCTGCTGGAAAACAGCCAGGGCACCGCTTGCCAGCAGCCCTCAGATATTTGCCTGCTGACCTGAAACCTCTTCCTGTGCTCAAAGTCTCACCGCAGGCTGAGAGTCACTGTGGTCTGTCCCCAGCGAGCTGCTGGGAGGCGGAAGGAAGCCCTGAGCCCTGGGGCCGGAAAGAAAGGTATCACTGCAGCCATCTGAGCAGGTTGGTTTTTAATTTCTCTCCATTTCCCTCTTTCTGTAAAGGTGTCGAACGCCGAAGTGGAGCAACTGTTGCCCTAAGGACAGCCAGCACCAGTGAGACCCAGCTTTGGTAAAGCAATGCTGCCCACATCGAGCACTGGGTGCTGGGAGGGAGGGTGGTGCTGGATGCCTGACTGGGGCTTCCAGAAAGTAGAGGATGTAGTGTTTATGTGGTATATATGTTACATGGCATGCAGTTTATATAAGGTATATGGGGTATATAGGGCATATGAGTTACATGGGGTATAGACTGTGAAGCTGGCATGGCCACCCTGAGCATCCCTTGTCCATCTGGGGTGGAAATCTTGAGCAGTAGGAAACTCCTGCATCCTGTTTGGCATCTGACAGCTGGAGCTGGCAGCAGGGGTGGAGCAAAGCTGATCTACACATCCATCCCACAACACCTATGGCCACCCCAAATGCCCCTGCTACTCCAAAAGCCACTGGTCCAGAGGGCAGGTGGCTGAGGGAGGCAGATGCAGCCCCGTTTCCTTCTGCTTTGTTGCACTGCAGCTTTTCTTGTAATGCCCCAGCATCCCCTAAGCCTGGCTAATGGGGGCATGCATCCAGCAGCGATGCCCTCGGAGGATAGTGGCTTTCTGCCCTTGCCCAAATGCAAAGCTGGTCTGCATCTCCTCCCCTCACCCATACTCATACGGCCCAGCTCTAACACCTCCACAAATACAGCCCCACCAAACTGCTTTTGGGATTTCAGGGATTCCAGGCTCTGTGTTGAGCCCCCATCCCCATTCCTGCCTGCTGCCCGACCGGGGTGTGCCCGGCGTGCCGATGGCCAGCAACAACACCGCGAGCATAGCGCAGGCACGCAAGCTGGTGGAGCAGCTGAAGATGGAGGCCAACATCGACAGGATAAAGGTGATGCAGCCGGGGATTCGTTGGGCAGGTAGAGGGATGCTGTGAGGGTAGGTGCTGGTCAGAATGATATTGCAGGAGCCATCGGATGTGGTGGCAGAATGTGGTGGGTATGGAGGACGTCTGTCGCGGTGGCACCATGGCCATCCCGTGGTCGTCTCGTTAGCCATGGGAGGTGATTTCCTGGAGAAGTTCCCATGGGGTGGGATGTTCCATCCCCACGGTGGGGTGTTGTGTCCCCATGGTGGAATGGCTGAGGGATGTGGCTTAGCGGGAGTGGTGCTGATGGGTCAGGTTGGACTAGATGATCTTAGTAGTCTTCTCCAACCTCAGTGATTCTCTGCTGCTATTCTGTGATTTAAGGCGGGATGTCCCATCCCCAAGGCAAGATGTCCCATCCCCAAGGCTGGATGTCCCCCATGCCACCTGTCCCCAACACATGGCTCCTTCTCTGCAGGTGTCCAAGGCAGCGGCAGACCTGATGGCATACTGCGAAGCTCACGCCAAGGAGGACCCCCTATTGACCCCCGTCCCGGCTTCAGAAAACCCCTTTAGAGAGAAGAAGTTCTTCTGTGTGATCCTGTAAAGCCTCAAGGAGCCTGACGGGCACTCAGGCCACCCTGAACACTGATGTAGAGTTTTTAGGAACGGGGACGACCTGCTAGTCCACAGAATTTAAACAAAAAATAAGTAAAATACAAGGCCTGGAAGCTACAGAGATGTGCATGTTTAAAGAATCTGGCCGCCTTTGGGGGATATAAGATGATCCGCATTGCGAGGCAAAAGATCTGAAGTCTGTAGAGTTGCCTAGAAAGAAAAAAAAAAAAAAAAAGGAAAAAAAGAAAAGAAAAAAAAAAAAAAGAATATTCATGTAAAGAATAAATTCGTGTCACTTTTCAGCTCACAAAATCGTTTGATTGTTCCGTATTTAAAGCACCAGAGCGGTGCTGAGCAAAAGTAACCGCTAAGGATGTGCGTAACCTTCTTGGAATGATGTTGTTGGTTCCTTTCCAAGTACAGTTTTTTATTTAAGCTGCCGGATCTATAGCTAGATGGCTGTGATGTTACTCAGTGTTCGGTCTCGTGCTTTCCCATTCCCCGCTTCCCGTCTTGTGCCTGGTGGCTTCGCCCCGCGGTGAATGGTGTTGTGCTCGCTGCTTCGCGCTCTGTGACGGCTTTTGGTTGTAGTGCATGGATGGGGTTTGGTCTCTGCTCGCCCGCTGTGGGTTTTCTGTTCTGTCTGACAGCACAGGCCGGCGGGAGATGCTGCGGGATGTGATGTTGGAGGTGATGCCAGTGGCAAAGCCGACCCCCGCAGCGCCTCCCGACACAGCTGCAGACCCCAAAAACAGTGCTGGCCTCTTTTTCCTAGGTCCATTCCTTTGTCCCACACATCTGTGCCTCTTCCCTGCTCCCTGCCCGGCTCTTCCTGCCCGTCCTCATGCCCACTCCCCCCCAGTGACGGGAGAGTGCCAGCATGATGATGCCCAGAGCACCCCGCTCCTGCAGTGCCTGATGCTGTGTTTACACACAGCCCTGTGCCAGGGTGATGGCTCATTCCCACGTCCAACATCACCCACAATCAGAGTTTTGCGGGAAACATGCCCCCTTTTGGGGCCGTCAGATGCTCGTGAGGACATGGCTTGCCAGGAGCCCCCAGGACACTCCAATGCTCCACACCCAGCAGTAGCACCGGGATCCCATAAGGTACTCTGGGCTCTGCATTCACCCCATAAAATCACAGAATCATTAAGGTTGGAAAAGACCTCTAAGATCATGAAGCCCAACCGCCAACCCGCCACCACCATACCCACTAAGCCATGTCCCCATCAGCCCCAAACCACAGCTACCCAAGAGGGCAATAGTCTTTAGGTACCTTTCTGAGAATCTTTCTAGCCCGTTTCAAGTGCATTTTGGGTTTTCTACCTTTTCATACTCTTTTTCTAGCTCTGGTTGGCAGTGGGATGGCGCGCCCGGGGCCGGCCCCGCTCGTGGTGTTCCCGGGCCGTGTAAATACCCCCAACCCTTTGTCTTGGTCGTTGTGATGCCAAATTTCCGCTGAGCGCTGCCATGGTTTGTAAGAAGTTTTTTAATGACTCATATCTTTTACAACAGGAATTCTTAATACATCAACAAAGAGTAATGCGGCCGTGTTCGCACTGCTCGTTTCCCCATGCAAAAGCCCTCAGCTGCCTCCATCCCGGGCATGGAAGGGAAAATCCATGGAGCATCGGTGTGGGATTTGCCCTTCGCCCATTGGTGTGGGCTGTGGGGGAAGGCAGTGCGGGGAGGTCGGCGTCGCGGTGTTGCGCATCCCCGTCCCGCGTGGTCTGTGTAATCGTTGGAAATAAAGTTGGGATTTGTTTCAAGGCTGTGGTGGTGATGGTGTGTGGGTGCCAGGGGCAATGGGAGGCTGCAGGGAAGGTGACCTGGCCTGTTGGTTGTAGAGGGATTGGGAGTGAGAGAGCGGGGTCTGGGCTCTGCACGGTAGGGCAATGCAAGGCAGGGCAAAGCAAAGGAAGGCAAGGCAAAGGAAGGCAAGGCAAAGGAAGGCAAGGCAAGGCAAGGCAAGGCACTGCTCTCTCACAGTCCTTTCCCCTGTGCTGGCCATGACGTAATGGTCATCTATCAAACTGTCAAGTTTTTTGAACACGAGGGATTTTTCCCAGCCATAGTTAAAGGCTGAACACCCTCCGCTGGTCTTCAGCTCACATAAGGCAGTAGGAACGCATGCGCACAGGTTGCTCAGCCTGTGGTGCCCCATCCCTGGAGGTGTCCGAGGCCACGCGCGGGCCCCGGGCAGCTGAGCTGTGGGAGCACCCAGGCCACGGCAGAGGTGGTGCTGGGGGCTGCGAGGTCCCTCCCACCCGTCCCTGCGGCCCGCCCAGACCACACCGCCGTGCCCGGATCCCCGCCCCGTGGGACTGCCCACCCGCCGCCGTGTCGTTAAAGCTGGATGGATGTCAACTTCCGTTCCGGCTGCTTTCTTCGCTCTCCAATTGGTCGCATCGCTTTTCTCTCAGCGCGCGGAAACCAATAGGAGGCGAGATAACCGTTATAGAGGCGGTACTTCCTGTGCGGCCCGGCGGCTCTGCCTGAGCGCGGCGAGTGGCGGGGCCCGGCGGAGTTGGTAGCGCCATGTTCCGCCGCAAGCTCACGGCGCTCGATTACCACAACCCGGGCGGCTTCAACTGCAGGGGTGAGGGCCGCGGGGACGGGTTTCGGGGCTTCCCCACGGCGGGGAGAGCGCAGGGTGTGGAGAGAGGCCTAGGTTTAAGGCAGGAAGCCTGGGTTCTGTGTGAGGCCTGCTTGGGGCTGGGAGCAGAGCGCGGCCCGCAGGGAGCCCGGGGAAGCGCTGCGCTGTGCTTTGCTCCTTCTCTGTGTGTGCGGGGGTCGTGGGTGGGAGCAGGGTTGCTTGTTCCGTGTGTTAATAGGACAGGGGTTCCCCTGGAGCGGTTAGGTGGCAGATCTGATCTGTGTCGGTGCTGCGATGTTCCTTCTTGCAGCGCTTTGGTGGTTTGAAATGTTGCAGTGAGGCAGTCATAAGCTTCAGGCCGCGTGGAGTGGGGCCTGAATAATATCATAATATCATGAAGCCTGATAAACCCAAGTGGAAAGGTGTTGTACTCGGGCCGTTGTACCTCCTGCTGTCAATAAAGGTGGGAGCCGTAAGGATGGAGCACAGCTCTGCCAAAAACGACCTGGAGATTCCTAGCTGGGTGTGAGCCAGCACCGTGCCCTCACAGCATGGAAGGCCAGCTGTATCCTGGGCTGCATCCAACATAGTGTGGGCAGCAGGGTGAGGGAGGTGATCCTGCCCTTCTGCTCTGTGCTGTGAGTCCTCGCTTGGAGTGCTGCATCCAGATGGGGAGTCCTCAATGCAGGAGAGATGTGGGCCTGTTGGAGCGTGTCCATAGGAGGGCTGCAAAAGTAATCCCAGAGGTGGAACACCTGCCTGTGAGCACAGGCTGTGCAGCATGGAGAAGAGAAGGCTCCAGGGAGACCTGAGAGTGGCCTGTCAGTATCTAAAGGGGCTGTAAGAAAGAGGGGTACGGATGCTTTAGCAGGCTCTGCAGTGACAGGACAAGGGGAAAGCGTTTCAAACTAAAAGAGGGGGGATCTAAGCTGGACATAAAGAAGTTCTTCTACAATAAGAGTAGTGAGGTGCTGACACAGGTTGCCCCGATAGGTGGTTGTGCCCCATCCCTGCAGACACCCGAGGTCAGGCTGGATGTAGCTCTGAGCACCTGGTGGGGCTGTGGATGTCCCTGTTTGTTGCAGGGAGTGGGATCAGATGGCTTTTAAGGGTCCCTTCCAACTCAAACCATTCTGTGGTCTTTGTAAGGGATTGTCTTGCCCTCTGTGCTTCTGGTTGGCTCATTTCTCTTTGAAAAAATGGCGTCCACTGTCAGCTTCGTGTGTTGTGCTTTTTGAGCTCTTACTGCTAACATTCTTTCTCCTCAAAGGCTTGCTTTGTTGGTGTAGAAGTTGTTGAAGTTGTTACTGAAAGTTTTCCTCCATGTGTGTTGTGGCTGTGGCTGTTTCTTACAGCATGCTCACTGGAAGTAGGGCGTTCATGTTGCTTCGAGGAGACCCTCCTGGCAGGCAGAAGTAGCATAGCAGGTTTGTCCCTGATGGGAAAGCATTTTGCTTACCCCAGCCTGAGCTACAGGAGGATATTTACCTCATTAATCCAGGTCTCTGAAACTCATCCAGTGCCAAAATTTCACTGATGATTATCAAAATGCTGGTGGTGCCCAAGTGCTGCAAATCACAGATGCAGAGTAATTGTTTTGTCCGTTACCTTTGGACCACAGCCTTTGTGTTGTGGAGTTCCAACTCCAAATGATGAAATGTTGGCTCAACAACCAAGAGAAGTTGACTCAACAGAGAAGAAGGAAGAAAATGCCCCTACAGAGTCACGGGATGAGGGTGCATTGTTCTTAGGGACAGACTGGGGTTTGTTGCAGCATGTGATGTGTTTGTCCACGCAACAGAGTTGGGCGCTGAAACCCTCAGTGTCATTGTTTTGCTTTCCCTTCTTTGCTTAGTAACATTTATAATTGTATTCCTAATGAAAACAGTCTCTTAACTGATGCCTTTTAGTGTTGTCCATCGACTGTGGCCAATTCCAAGTCACTTGAGAAATGAAGAAAGCTCAGAGTGTTGAGCTTTGGTCAGAAGTTAGACTGGGCTGTGTGATTTTTAGGTAGTGGTGTGTATCTCTCTTTTTTTGTGGTAAGAAAGGGACACAGAATTTGTAGGAATTGGCTCCAAACTTGAGGGCTTGGTTTTGCCCTTAAGGTCTTGGTTAATTCTTGCTGTGTTTACTTCTCCCTGCAGATGAAACAGAATTCAGAAATTTTATTGTCTGGCTGGAGGACCAGAAAATCAGACACTACAAGATTGAAGACCGAGGGAATTTAAGAAACATACACAGTGATGACTGGCCCAAATCGTTTGAGAAGGTATTTTATTCCAATCACAAATGTGTCTCACCTGAACACATACAGGCTTTCTGTAGCTGTTGAGTGTAAATGAGTGGCCCCTTGTCCTGTCTCTGAATGTTTTCTGCTTCTAGGAACTGAAATATATAATTGAGGCCATGCTGCAGTTGAAGATGGTGAAACATTTTGTTTGTAAATTTCACTCAAGCCTGTTTTTGCAGTAGCATCTATCCTAATATTTCTTGCCTAAATTGATTTAGCTTTTGACGTAGAAAATTGGCTACAAATAAACAGCTTCTTTTTCTGTGCTATGGTTTTTATGTGGCAAAATAAAAATGGATTAGCCTAATATGGGCTTTACAAGCATATGAAATGAAGCTACTGAATCTCCTCTCTGAACCTACTGTCCTGTCAGTAAATGATTTTCCATTGCTAACATGAAGTGTGGCAAGCAGCCATAGCTCTGGTTGTGATCTCCTGTGTGCTTGTGAGCATTTGGACTCACTTTGGGCTGCTGGTTCTGTGCTGGATTCCATTGCCTTTCTCTCACAACAGCACTGAGGAGCTGAAAACTGCTCCTTATGCTCAGTGCCCATTTGTCTCACTCGTGTTCCCAGGAACCATTTGTCTTCTTCCCTGCCCACAAGGTTTGGACTGGTAGTGCACACACTTTGTAAGTGGAAGCCTAAAGTTCCAAAACTGATGGCAGGAGGGAAGCATTCTGAGCTTTAAAGAGGAATGATGTTGGAATTGCTGGCTGCTGGTACTGCTGTGGTGTCAGCAGTGCTTGTGGCATCTTGCTGTTGTATGCAGCCCCTTGGAAATAGAATTGCTCTGGTTTTTGTGCAGGTGGTGCTGCTGAACCTTGATAGCAGTATTGTGAAGGCTTTAGGTAGCATCCTTCCTGCTTGAGATAGGAAGTTTTTGCTGTACTTTGTTCTCTGTTCTTCTCCCTTGCCTCCTCTCACTGTATAAAGAGAGCAGACAGCAGAGGAAGGAGTGTTTGGATTCTCTGGTTGTCAGTCTGACAGGGAATGTTACTCATTCAAAGCATTATTAAATGTTTAGTGTTAAAGACTAAGTGCCCCTTGCATTCCTCAGATGGATCAGATGCTGCAGCAGGGATGTTTTGTACTGATGCTTCTTAGTAATGATCTTCCCAACTGCTGGCTGTGGGAAAGCGACTGCAAATCAGTTCTGTGCTTGTAGCTAACTTATACAAGTGTTTCCTTCCAGCCTATAAATAATGTCTATTTGTTTCTCCTCTTTCTCTTCCACAGTATATGAAGGATGTAAACTGTCCTTTCAAAATGCAGGAACGACAGGAGACTGTGGACTGGCTGCTTGGGTTAGCAGTTAGGCTGGAGTATGGAGATAATGGTATGACTGAGTTTATCTAATACTTAAAAGTGGAAGGAAAACCTGTTTGACTGTTTAAAGTTAAGAAAGATACATTCTTAAGAAAGAATGAAATTATGACAGTGTCAGAAGTATACATTGTTTTCCTTTAAAAAAAGTAAAGCTGTTTGATCTGCTTGATACAGCACCATGTTGAGATGTGGGCTGTTTTTCTCAGCTCTGTTCCTGTGGGTCAGTGCAGCAACATACTCACATTTGCTCTTAATTTCTGGATATAGCAGAACCCTCTGTATATATTGATACGTTTCTCTATCTGCTTTTGCCTTTGAGAACTTACCTCAAAGTCTATGAAGTGCTTTTTCTTTAATGCTACATATGTTGAAATAAGTTCTTCTGAAAACCACGTTTCATTGGGAGCTGATCCTGAACCCTTGGGAACTGGGACAAATGGATGAAAAAGTTGAATTTGACCTCAACAGGCAGTAGCAATTTCCTTTGCAGCAGGAGTGCAGATACAAATCTAATTACTGGTGGCAAACATAATAGCCAAAGGACTGTTTTCCATTACCTTTAATTGCTGCAGGGCAGGGCTCTGTCCAAGATGAGGATGGGGATATGAATGCTGGCAATCTACAGAGCTGGTTTTTAGTCTGTAGTACTGGAGGAAGTGAGCTTTCTCCCTTGTGTCAGTGTTCTATGAACGTGGAAGAGCCAGCAGAGATCACCTCAAAATACTTGAAGAGCACCATTATGGCTCATGGTTGAGTGCTTCAGGCTATAAAAAACAAATCCTCTGTTAATGTTTTGTTCACTGATCAGGGCCATCTCAAATCCTGACCCTCCATATGCTGCTCCTTAAGGCAAAGGGCCAATCTTGGCTGATTTGCTGGATTTCTAAAGTAGAAGAACTGTAAGTTGCAGCTTGTTCAGCTTCCTTCTGGGAGGTTGCAGGATTGCCTAAATTGAGTGCATGATGACTTATGTGAGTGTGAGCCGTGCTCTGATGCTACTGTGGGTGCAATGAGAAGCTTTGGGCAGATGGGGGCTGTTAGGACAACTGTCCCTGGGGCACTGAGGAGCTCCAGAATGGCAGCATGTGAGCTGAGGATGCTGTTGGGTATGTACCACATCTCCCAGGGGTGGTCACCACAAACTAGTTGGGCTATAAACTTCTAGCTAGTTGCTTTCTTAATTAGCCCTAATGGTGATCGTATTTTCTTCTTAATTTACCAGCTGACAAGTATAAGGACTCCACCCCTGATGGTGCTAAACATACTGACAGTACAGCCAAAAATGCAGAGCCACTGATTAACTTGGATGGTAAGTGTACAGTGATGTTGGATGCAGAAAGGCTGCATCATTCACAAGTCTGTCACTTGTTGGCTTGGTCTTCCACAGCCACTTCTTCCATAATCATTGTGACTTTCATGCTGGCTAAGTAGAACTGGTGGGAAAACTGCAAGGAAATAGCCCTAAATCCTTCAAATCTTCTCCCATTACTCCTACAGAAGGACAGCTAAGAGTTGGCCCTGCCTTCACCAGTTCTGCTCTACAGTGATGGAAAGATTTCTAAAAGATAATGTCTTCACTCTTGCCTTTAATTGTTAAGACTCAACACTGATTTCCTGTGGAGTAGGAGATGCATTTGATGTGTTTTGCATTGAAAACGGTGCTGTTTGAGCTTGGATGGCTTCCCACAAGCTGACTGATGAGCTTAGTGGCATCTTTTCATTGCTCTGTGTCCTCCTTCATATCCTAGCTATGTGCCAGCTTAAAACTTGCACCAGGCTGAGCCCTTCCTTGTGCTGCAGTAACAAAGTGGTTGCTGTGCATCCACGCCTCACCCATGCTCGAGGGCAGCCTGGTTCCATGGAACCAGAAAGCTAATTTTGTCTTCTGCAACCGGTTAAACCAGCATTTTTTTGTTGTGATCATTTTATTTCATTATTTTTTTTCCAGTGAATAATCCTGATTTCAAGGCTGGAGTGATGGCTTTAGCTAATCTGCTTCAAATCCAGCGACACGATGATTATTTGGTAATGCTGAAGGTGAGCTTCACAGGTTTCAGACCTTCTTTCTTCCTTTTCATCCCCTGCAGTGTGTGTGATAGCCTGTGGTAGGCAGTTACTGAGACCCAGGACTCACTGAGGAACAAAGAAAGTAAAATTCATCCTGTTGTGTGTCTTTCAAGCAGATAAGATGCAGTGTGAGTTGTGGAAATTAATGCAGGGTAATTATCTTGTTAAACACTTTGATTGTAGCCATGTTCCTGGAGTTCCAGTGCTGGCTGAGAGTTGTCTTTGAGGATTAGAAATGCTCTAGGCCAGTTGATGTCTCTGCTCTGTGAGGTTTCAGTGCACTTCAGGCATAGGGAGGAATGGGCTGGAAGGACAGCATTGTAGTCCAATTTTAGCAATGAAAAGCTTGAAAGCATAGAGCCTAAGTCATGCAGAGGATTTTAAACAGCACAGAAGTCACTTTGGTCGTGTCAGCTAATCATAATTTCTAAGTGCTGCAAATAAGCTAATTAATTTGCTAAAGCATCTCGGTATGGATATGGGAAAGCTTGTGATTTCGTGGTGGAACTCTGGTTATCTGTTGAGATTAGCCTCTCCAGGTACCCTGTTTAGGGAGATAGTTGCAGCCTTGAGTTCTTATGTGATCATGTCATAATATGGGAATTAAGTGAGTTGTCTGTCACTGCATCAAATTTATTTTGGTGACAAACAAGACAACATCCATTTATTGCAGGAGCTGTGGTTTTAAGCTGAGTTATATGTAGATATTGCAGGATCCCATTATGGTTTGTGTTGGATGGCACCTGAAAACCTGAAAGCTGGTTCCAAGCCCTACTATGGGCAGGGATGCCTCCCAGCACAGCAGTGTAGGGATGATGTCTTGCAGGACAACATCAAATGTTTTGCACAGATCCAGATAGATGGTGCCTGGTCTTCCCTTATCTACCAGTGCTGTACCCTGTAGTAGAAGACTGCCAGGTTTGTCAGGCACAGCACATTTGCCAAGCATTTCGTTAGGAAATGATGCCCTGTAGTTTTCCCATCAGCTCCTCCTCCCTTCTCTCTGGTCTGTTGTCCTCCTTTGCTTTCTCTAAATAACCCTTGGGTCCTTTACAAATCCTTAGGGAGGGTGAGGGTCTCAGATATCAAACCTCTGAAGGGGGAAAGGAAACAAAACAGGAATACTCCACAAAGGCATGAAGTGAGAAGAGAGAGGAGATGCAGTGAGTGGCGTGCTGGGGATCTGCGTTATCTCAGCCCTCCAGCAGAATTCCTGCAGCAGCTGTTACAGGACAGTCTCAAGGCTGGCAAACTTTATCAGGATCCACCTAATTGGCACTAACAGCTCAGAAAGCAGGATGTTTTCTGCCTGAACATGTTTACATTTTGTCTTTATTTCTGCATTTCTAGTCTCACTTTTTTTTTTGGTTGTAAGCAGTTGGACAAAGCAACCAGTCTGCATTTTCCTTCTCTCACTTGCAAGAACAGATTCTTGCAGTGGTGATTCACGTTATGTGAACAACAGTAATGCTGCTTTTCGAGGCTTGATGATAGCAGAACATGTCAGTGAGATTTTTTGGTTCTATTCCATGTGAAGGAGGCTTGCAGCGATGCCCATACATAGAAATCATGATCCATATTCAGGCTTGGGCACTCTGGCTGCTTGGGAAAAGTGAGAAGCTGCAAGCCTGCCAGAGATGTCTAGCTAGAACTTGGTCAGAGTGAGCAGAGAGGGATTTGGAATCCCCCTTTTATTAATTTAAATTGGAAGAATTAATCAGGAAACACTTATTTAACACAGTTGGATACACTTCCTAATGCAAAAGATGCTCAGAATTCTCTTATGAGTTCTGATGTCACTGCTGGAATTTCAAGCTAAGATCCTCATCAAATCACTTCCCACGTCCAGGGCAGTCACCTCTGTTAGAAAGACTTGTAGCAATTCCCACTGGTAACTTTGCAGTCTCACTTCTCAGCTTTAATAGTGAACAAAACCAGGAGAAATGGTGGAGAGAAACATGAAGCAGCACAACTGCTTCTGTCGCACTCAGCTATTCATCAGGCCGAGTCTGAGGAATGTGTTTGACAGACAAAGTGCTTTTTGGTGGAACGCTGCTTGCCTGGTATTCCTTCAGTTATTTTTAGAGGCATTTTCAGCTGTAGGTATCAGTAAGTGACAGCTCAGTGTGGTTTTGTGCTGAGTTTTGGAGCAGTGCGAGCAGATGAGCAGCAGGATCGTGGAGGCTCTTTTTGTTCCTGCGTCTAGAAATAAATATTTCCTTTTAACACCTGCTTAGGTAGCCTTGTTCAGGTTTCTCTGCCCATGAAAGGGGGTTCAACACATAGAATCATAGAATCACCAAGGTTGGAAAAGACCTTCAAGATCACCCAGTCCAACCGTTCACCTATTCCCAGTAGCTCCCACTAAATCACATCCCTCAACACAACATCCAGCCTTTCCTTGAACACCCCCAGGGTCGGTGACTCCACCACCTCTCTGGGCATCCATTCCAGTGCCTGACCAACCTTTCTGACAAGTAACACTTCCTCATGTCCAGCCTGAATCTCCCCTGCCGTAGCTTGAAGCCATTCCCCCTGGTCCTATCACTGATGACACGAGAGAAGAGGCCGACCCTCAGCTCACTGCAGCCTCCCTTCAGGAAGTTATAGAGAGCAATGAGGTCTCCCCTGAGCTCCTCTTCTCCAGGCTGAACATTCCCAGCTCCTTCAGCCTCTCCTCATCAGCCCAGACCCCTCACCAGCTTTGTTGCCCTCCTTTGAACACGTTCCAGGGCCTCAATATCTTTCCTGCAGTGAGGGGCCCAAAACTGGACACAGTACTCAAGGTGCGGCCTCACCAGTGCTGGATACAGGGGAACAATCACCTCTCTGCTCCTGCTTGCAGCACTGTTTCTGATGCAAGCCAGGATGCCATTGGCCTTCTTGGCCACCTGGGCACACTGTAGGCTCATGTTCAGCTGAGCATCCATCAATACCCCCAGGTCCACATCACCTAAAAGATCCCAGTAGCAGGAATTGCTGCAGTTAGAGGCAGAACAGCACAGTGCAGGGAGCACAAAGCTCAGGAAAAACAAAACTGAAGCTGTCGCTTTGGGAGCGGTATCAACTTGTTCTAGGAGCAGCAAACTTTCTTGGCTGTTCCTGGTGCTTTGAAGCTTCTGATCCAGTGGTGTCTGAAGTGCATCGAGACGTGAATTAATTACTCTGGTCCTTAAATGTTTCTCCCCAGGCAATTCGCATTTTGGTTCAGGAACGCTTGACGCAGGATGCCATAGCGAAGGCCAATCAGTCCAAAGAGGTTTGTATGCACTCTGCACGGTTTTATCAATCCTTCCTGGTGTTCATTGGTCAAAATGGGTTCTGTTTAAGCACTTCGTTTAAGAGGATGGTGGAAATTCACTTAGCAATTGTGATTCTGAAAGACCCAGAGAGCAGTAAGGAAAAATTGTCGTGTGCAAATATTTGTATGATAGCACATGTAAATAGCTGCTTTCCCATCTTGGAGTGTGCTGAGGGGTGACTGCTGCTATTCAGTGCAAAGGGGCCACAGTATCCACAGAAATGTGTGCCCTGACTTTTCATTGGAGTCAACTGCATGAGCATAAGCAGGTGGGGTTTGCCTCTTATGGAGTGTTTTGCTGCTGAAGTCTTTGCGTAAGTTTGAAGAATAGGATGTTGGCCACCTGGCTTCTCTCCCTTCTCCCCCCCAAGTGAGAAATGGTGAAGGAAACTTCAGCAATTAAACATCAGATCGTCCAGCATTTGGCACAGCAGCTGATGGCATTGGGCCCAGCCAGGGAGGGGAGCCTGGTGCCCTGCAGGTGTGTGCTGAGGAATGGCCCTGCTAAAGCAACTGGATCTGGTCAGTGAGGGCAAGGCCCTCCATCCCTTCTGGCAGCTGCTCAGAGCAGTCTGTGCTTTGTTATCATAACACTGTTTGTGGTGTTTACTAAGTGGCAGTCGCAGGTGCACAGAGATGCAGTGCAGTAATTGCCAGAAGCCTTGGAACATGAAATCAGAGCTTTGGGCTTTTATATATCCAAAGACATAAAAGAGTAGGAAAACACGCAGGCAGCTGGGACTGCTTTATTCATTTTAGTTTCTATAGCTTTTAGTAAAAGGCTGCTTTTTATTATTGTTGACGTAGCTGCAAAGCTGCCTTGTAGGGATCAAAATGCAGTTTGGCAGAAGTGTCTGTTTGAGCAGCAGGGGCTTTATTTGAGGACAGGATTCATAATTAGTGGGCTCTTCAAGTGTGGTCAGGTCTTAGGTTGAAATGTCACTGAATGTCATGATGTCACCAAGAGTGTATTCTTACTACAAATATTAATTTCCAAATGGGGTGGAGGTGTAGGAGAGGCAGGGGGCCAGAGGCAGGGGAACAGCTTTGTGCCCATAGCAGTCATCAGAATCATGACGTGCTGGATAAAGGAAGAAAATGACTGGAAGAGAGGGGCTGACTGGGTCACAGGGTAGGAGCTTGGGGAGCATAAATCTCTTTCTGGCCTTGGCTGGCTCGTTAATAGCCAGAATACTAGCTAGTGACACTTTGTGTAATTAAGTCTTGTCCCTAGAAATAGTTTATAACTGTTTGGCTTCTGCGTGGCTGACAATTTTATACAAAATGTCACGAGCTGTGCTCTTGGCAATATCAAGATATGGTGCTGGAAGATAAAATAGGTGTAGGAGTAGCTTCCATGAAGGATGCACGGGAGGGTTGTGCTGAGGAGACTCTTCTGTGCTCAGGGTTTAAATTTGCAAAATAAAGTGAGATTTATCCTGAGCTGTCAAGCTAAAGTTTTAAAGATAAAGAAGAAAGGTTTGGTTGTTTTTTGAATTATGTTGTGAATGGCTTGCAATTTAATGTATTCACTGTCTGGATAGGGTTCATATTTGTGTTGATATGCACTCAGCCTGTTTCAGGCTTCTCTTACTGGGTGAGTGTGTCCTAGGTAGAGTCACAGCACGGCCTGGGTTGCACAGGAGCACAGTGCTCATCCAGCTCCAAGCCCTGCTGTGTGCAGGTCGCCAACCAGCAGCCCAGGCTGCCCAGAGCCACATCCAGCCTGGCCTTGAATGCCTGCAGGGATGGGGCATCCACAGCCTCCTTGGGCAACCTGTGCCAGTGCCTCACCACCCTCTGGCTCAAAAACTTCCTCCTCATATCCAACCCAAACCTCCCCTGTCTCACTTTAAAACCATTCCCCTTGTCCCGTCACCATCCACCCTCACACACAGCTGAGGAGGATTAAGTGGATGAAATAGCTTTGGAGCAGCCCTTCAGATCACTCTGGGGCAGCTATACCTCTGCCTGCTTAAAGTGCAGGTGAACGTGTTCCTGCTGGAATCCAGCAGCAGCTCAGTGCCTGTAAGACCACTGCTCTGCCAAGAATGGGCTGCAGCAGAGGGAGCAGCCAAAAGGGAGCTCACAGCAAGGGTGTGGGAGGAGGACATGGAAAGCAGCAGTGCTGTGCTTCCAGGATGTCTGAAAACACCAGCTGCTTTGGAAGTGCTGCTGTGGTCACCCAGCGTTGGAGGTGCCTGCAGTTGGCAGGCGTGTGGTGATTTTATTGTGCAAGTCAGATGCTGAGAGAAGCTGCATAGTAAAAGCAAAAGCTTAAGATTGTCACTGTTTAAATAAATGCATGTGCACATTGAAAGGTGGGGAGTGATTGTTCATTGTGACTTCTCCGTGGCTGGAGAAGGTAAAGAAATAAAACAGTACTTAGAAATGAGCACTAATAAAACTTGTGCTTGCACTGTTTCTTAGAGCAAGAGTTCAGAATTTAATGTTTAGGTTTATTCCTAAGCTCAACACTTGAGCAAATGTTTCTGAGGATGTTGATGGAGGCTGCAAGTACAGTGCTTGAGAAACTCAATCAGGGGACTTTTACAGCTCGCTTTCGATTCAGCCAGTGCTTTGACATCTGGCAGCTGTTTAAAGGCAATAGTTACTAAGAAAGCCCAGTTTGTGCATGCTTATTGTTTGTCTGACTTAGGGATGTGGCTGCATTGAGTGCTCTGCAGTGCAGTTGTTAGCCTTTTAAGGATTGAATATGGGCAGTGTGTGTTCAGTGGGACTCACTCAACAAGTAGGGGGAATATTATTCAGGATGAAGACTAATTATTGTTATTGGTGCCCTGGGTTTGAAGTTTCAGAACACAAAGGCAGGTGTAATCAAGCACGATGATTTTTTTGTCACGTGTATCTGTAGAAGCAAAGCTCAGGTGTCCTCTCCAGGATTATCTGGGGTGGTATTTTATTTGCCAAATGTACAATGTGACATTTCTAATTGTACCTGCAATGTTTTTTCTCTTTAAAGGGTTTGCCCGTTGCCTTAGAGAAACACATTCTTGGTTTTGACACAGGAGGTAAGCAGGTCCCTTAATTTTACTTCTAAACAGCAATGTTTGTCGTTGTCAAGTGTGTAATTGTCAAATAGATAATGTGTACAGAGGGGAAAAAAAAACCCACCCCCATTCCTCTGGAGCCTGCAGTGGAAAGAATTGCTCCTTCCCAGCTTATTTATGAGCACTCTTGAGCTTTTTGTGTTGAAACAGAAAAGCACAAATCTTGGCTGTGGAATATATCATTATTGAAATATTACTCTAAACAGTTTTCAATAGCAGACCCTCTTGCACACGGAAGGAATGTGTCTTGTTGCTGCTGTCTTGTACAAGCTTACTCCTACCAGCAGAGGACCCTTGTGCTTCTCCCGTGCATTCCAGCTCCCTGCTTTACCTCCATCTAACTGGAGGCATCTGTCGGTGTGACCCAATAGATTGTTTCACAGGCAGCAGTCAGGTGTCCTGGGCTTCCCTGGTCTGCCTTCACTTTTGCCCCACGTCCAACTGAATTACTGCTTGGAGCACTTTGTACTGACCTGACTTAGCTGGGGATTGCTGCGAGGGCCGCACGGAGCTGAGCGAGGTTTTGCAGAGCACCCTGTGCAGGGCAAGTTCTGCCTCTGCTTTAAGCATGAGAAACCACAAGCATGAATCAGATACAAATGCTTGACACGACTTTCTGCATCTCACCCAGATGCTGTTATCAATGAAGCTGCCCAGATTCTGCGGTTGCTGCACATAGAGGAGCTCCGAGAGCTGCAAACAAAGATCAACGAAGCCATCGTAGCAGTTCAGGCCATTATTGCTGATCCCAAGACTGACCACAGACTGGGAAAAGTAGGGAGATGAAGGGATTGGAGCCTGCAGTCTCTCGTGTACTTAGTATGGCTAGGCACTACGTACAGCCCTGTACAACTCTGGCATGCAGTTTGCAATGGATGTTATCTCACTGATCTGAAAGAAAACAGGAAGTCGAATTCTGACTGTTCTAGCAAATTATCATCCTTCTTTCAATAAATGAAGTCGGGGAAGTAGAAACAAATGGTTGTCATTAGCTGTGTGTTGGCAAAGATGGTTCTTTGTGCTTGTTTTTTTGTTCTTTTCCCCATTGTTTGGCTTTGAGTGGAGAAAGGGAGTGTTTCATAAAGGCTCTTTCGCTGAGCTCCTGCCTTACAGCCAGCTTGCTCCTGCCTTGCTTCTCCTTCTCTGCTGTCTGCCCTGTGACTGAAACATTTAAAAACTAAATCCAAAAGGAAACGTAACCATTTTATTCAATTAATGAAATAACCTAGAAAAAGTGAAGCATAACAACTTAAAGTGTATTTCTGAACACGTATTGGTCTACGGTGAGTAGGTCTATGAAGGCACTTGGGGACCAACAAGCATGAACAGATCAATTCTTCTAGCATATTCTTCTAATATAAATACTAAAAGACATGCATTGAGGCAGTGTTGAAAATACAGAACTGTCTTCTGGAAGAACTTCAGCACCTTTGCTGTATCACAAAACTGTTCTGCACACTTCTGAACGTACACGGTTGGCTTCAGGGCTGTGGGTTACTTAGATCTGATGATACTGCATCCCAAACTTCCCATTTGTGCTTGTTTTGGGATAAAAGGACCTGGTGGTCAGATTGTCACACCATTAAAAATCCGTTCTTCTTCCAATAAAACAAAGCGTTTGAGTAAGAAAACTACACTTGAAACTTGCTTGCATAAGCAAGAGTTAGAGTAATGGCCTTAAGATTCACAGGACCATTTCTTCCAATATTAATATTTCTCACTTTAAAAAAAAAATACAGTAGTAAAGACCTGAGGTATAAGTTCAAAACCACATCATCTTTGGCAGGACGGAAGGTTGCTTCGTTGGCCTTAGCGAAGGGCTTCCCCCTTCCTCGTATGCAGTGACAGTTTTCTGGGTCTGAGGTCCTTTTAGGTGTGAAGTTGTCATTGCTATTTCCTTGCTGCAGAGAGAAATTGATCTCTTCAGCTTGTCTGCCATCTAATGCAAGAGAAAGGGGGTGGGGCTTTTTTGTGTTTTACCTCCAGGGCAGTAGGGATAAACTGCTGTGATTCCATAGAGATGCGATCGGTGCTCTGGAAGATACTCGTCAGTGAAGGAGCCGGTTTCCTTATTGACAGCAATCACACCATCACTGTGGATAGAGGAAAAACCCTGTAACTGTGTGTGTTTTTTTTCTTTTACCCCATCTACGTGGGGTGAAGGACAGAGGCAGCTACAAAGAGAGGACTGAACACCTGCACAACAAAGCAAAAGCACGCCCCACGACTTCCATGTGCAGCTCACTCAGCACGTTGGTGATGCAGAATCACAGAGCCAGCCTTCCAAGGAGAGATTATCTCCCTGAGAGCCTCGTCCAAGTGCAGCCAGCACTTAAGTGTTTGTTATAATCTGCTAAGATGTGACTGAAGCTTGAGAGCTTCCAGCTGGCAGGGGAATAGAGGCGAGGTCCTGATGACCCCCGATGCTTTTGGTGAGGGAGGGGAAGAGGGAACAACTGAGGACAGCATCTTTTCTTTCACTTAATCTGAATTCAAAACCCCGAGCCAAGTCCTAGTTAGAAAAAACAACCGCACCATTTCCATCCCTCCCAGGAAGATGGAGTTGTTTCTAAACAACTCTCCTGCGCACTAAGGAAGCTCCACAAGCGGCTGCTGCCCAGCACGGCGCTGCAGAGGGGCTGAGGCCAGGATTCTGATGAGGTTTCAGGCCCGGCTTTCAGCACTTGTTTTCCCCTTCTGGAGTGGGTTTTCTCCCCTTACCGTCTCCAGTCGGTGTGGTAGAAGTGACTGGCGTAACTAACGATGCTGAAGGGGTAGTTGAGGTTGTTGTGTACGACGCGCCTGCCTGCTCCGTCAGGGAACGTGCACTCCAGCTTCTTCGTTCCTTGTCGAAAGCAAGAGAGTTACCAGGCCATGCAAACAAATCAACACACGCTCACTGGATCCACTGGTTTTACAGCAGCTTCTCAGCCCAAGGATGCAAAAGCTGCAAATCCCCCCGACCCACTCACGCTTAAAGTCTTTTGGATCAGGACAGTGGAAGGGGATGGAGTGGCGTGCAGGAACCAAGGGGCTAAAGACTGAGCTGCTCTTCCCACTTAGTGGACTCATCTGGTCCATCCTCAGTGCAGTTACCTGCATCTGCCCAACACAGCAGCTTGGAGAAGGGGTCGAACGTCAGGCCGTTGGGCAGCCCGATGTCTTTGTTCACCAGCACCCTCCTATTGGCTCCACTGACGGTAGAAGTTTCAATTTTTGGTGCTTCTCGATTCCAGTCCGTCCAGTAAAGGTTGCTTGGGAGATAATTATATAGTGAGCAAACAGGACACGCAACAGTAAGGACAGGAAGGAGAACACTGGCTTTCACTACAGCACTGGTTCTTATCAGAAGGGAGGCCTGGTTTTTCCCTTCTGCTGCCTGGAATAGATCTTTATTTGAGCTGAAAAACCACTAAAAGAAAACCAGAATGATGTCAAACTTGTTTACGACCCAAACTGTAGCTTCTAGACGAGGGTGAGCCTTAGGAGTAGCACATTCCGTATCGCAGCAGCACCCTAGGGGCACGGCTTGTGTTTTCAAACACCGTATTTCAAAGCTTTTAGAACTAATCCCGACACTGAGACAGCAGGTTTAGCCAAACCCTGAATTATTAAATGAAAGGAGGGAGAGGGGGAACAGAGCCAGTCCTTCCTGCAGGGCGTGCAGTGCAGGAAAGCTGCTCCCAGGGCCAGGATGGGGTCTTGGTACTGCGAGGAGTAACCAGTCCCGCTTCAAGCACTCCCCCAAATACAACTCCTATTGCAAATGGGGCGAATGCCATCCTAAAAGAGTCTTGCAGAACCTCCAGACAAAGGCTCTCACCCTCGGACGGGGTCCACTGTGATGGCCCGAGGATTGACAAGGTCTGTGTCGAAGAGCACCCTCCGCTCCGAGCCGTCCAGCTGCGCTCGCTCTATCTTATCCAGGCCGCTGTCGGTCCAGAACATGGCTCTGCGCAGGTGATCCACTGCCAGCCCCTCGGGGCTGATGAGCCCTGCAGGGGGGGTGAGGTGCTCAGCGATGGGGATGCGTGGATCCCGGTGCACCGCCATCCCCATAGCCACAGGGAGGACGATCGGAGATGGACCCAGCAGAGCTGGGCACACACCTGAGTTGATAATGGTCTCTGGCTCAGCGCCTGGCTCCAGGCTTGCCCTGCTGATGGTTCGCCCCGCCACGTCAGTCCAATAGATTGTCTTCTCCCGGCAGTCGTAATCGATCCCTACCACGATGGAGCCCTGGGTTGCAAGAGACACGGTGAAATCCTGCCTGGATCACAGCTGGGATCCTCGGTGGGTACCCTCATCCCAGCAGCCGGCATCTGGGGCACGATGCAAGGTGCAGCGATAGGGACTGATGCTCAGATCCCTTTTCCCTAGCAAAATCCTTCTGGCTGCGAGCCTCCCACTGACCCCTGCAGCAGGGCTCCCAGGCAGCTGCTGCAGGCGCACACCCACGTCCAGCTGGGACTGAAATCCTTGGACTCAAGGAGAGATTTCTGCAACAGCGAGGCCAGCCCGAGGATAACTGTCAGCAAAGGGGGAAGGGAGAGCTTTTGGCAAGCTGAGTATTGCTTCCCAGCGTGCTGGGGAGTTTCTCTCCGTCAGGCTGGCCAGGCTGGAATGGACACATTCCCAGAGGAATCAGAGGAAGGAAAAAGGCAAATTTTTGGAGAGTTCTGCTACTTGGCCTCTACCCCAAGCCCCAGATCCCCTTCCCAAGCCCCATCCCCAGCGATACTTTACATGCAGGGAGAGCAGGGTCTTGGCTGCCTCCTTCTGCAGTCGCGTGCCGTTGAGTGGCAGGTAGCCGATCTGCTGGCCCTGGGCATACAGCAGGAAGGTCCCTGCGGCCGGCGGGGACACGTCAGGACGCGGCGAGGGCCGGACGCTGGGCGGTGCAACGCTGGGGAGACCTGGGCACAGCACAGGGGGGACGAGGAGAGAGATGGCTCCGAGCGCATCGGGGCGGATGGCGCTCAGGGCGCGGGGTCCCAAAGCTCTTACATGGCGGGGGGCTGCCGGGCTCCGAGCGCGTGCCTTGGATCTCCCTGCCGCTCTCGTCCACGCACCAGCAGTACCCGCTGTCCCCGTGGCACTGCAGTGGGGTGAAGTGGCCCTGTGCATCACACTGTGGCACGTACTGGTCGCCGCGGGGGCTGCCGCCGTAGTGCTCCAGCAGGCTCTGCCGCCAGCGCTCACACATGGTTGGGGGACGCTCCGAGGGCTCTGGCACGGGAATGGTGACCGTCACCCGCCTGCCCACGTGCAGGGACTTCACTGGAGCCTCGCTGGGCGCTCCGGTGACGAGGCTGGGATGCTTTGGGGAGGGCAGCTCTATGGCACCCACCTGGGCTCCCGCAGCGCGGCGGCGTGCTGCCCGGTGCTGTCCTGGTGCCGGCGATCTCCTGCCCCGCGCTGTCCACGCACCAGCAGTGCCCGGTGCTGCCATGGCATTGCAGGGGCCGGTAGTTGCCCTGCTCGTCACACTGTGGCACGTGCCCGTTGCCCACGGGTGAGGGGCCCGGTGGCACTGCCCGTGGGTACAGCCGCTCGTGCTCACATGGTGTCAGCTGCTGGGAGGAACCTGCGGGCAGAGAAACACCTCCGGCACACAGGAGGCCAGGGGGCAGCTTGGAGCTGGGCACCCGGTGCTGCTATAACCCTGTGGGCCTAATGACTCGGGAGCTGGAGCTCCTGAGATGCCCAAACAGCTATTTGGCAGAACCTGCAAAGGGTCCCCTCCTCTTGCCCTGTCCCATTCTGCTGGAGGCCAAGGCAATAATGGCAGTGGGGATTTAGGCCCCGCTCAGCCTCCTCTGTCACACAGCACAATCACGCAGCCTGCCACGCTTTGCCCCAGCACCTAGGTGCATGCCAATCTCACAGAGATGCCAGGGAAATGCTGAAGTTCCCAATGGCCATTTCCTCCGCTGATCCCATAGAGATGCCAACAAAATGCCAAAGGACCAACCCCAT